CTGCTTGAGCTGTCGCGGAGCAAGAGGCGCCAGCACGGTGGTGTGGTCCTCGGGACCGCCGCGGCCGCCACCCACCTCACCTTCGTCGCCGCGGCTGCCGCCCACCTCGCCGCCCACGACGCGGAGAGGGGACAAGGAGCAGCGGCTGGGAGGTGGTAGGGGTGATGGAGCAGGCGATATGGGCGAGGAGAAGGACTGTCGCGCACGGGCACATGAGCATCCGTCACCGGCCGGGTTCCCGCAGCGGGGAGAAGAGCATCGATGGCGTCCTTGAAGGTATTCATGAACGGCGGTGGTTTGTGGTGCCGTTCGGAGGCAGAGGGGAAATTTTCGGCCTTGAGAAAAAGAGGGAAAAAAAGAGAAAAGAAAGTGAGAAAGAAAATGTGACATTGACATGTGGGTCCCATGTGCTGAGTCAGCCAGTTGGACCGAGTCAAAGCTCCATGTCAGCAAAACCATCTCTAAAACCGCTGAGGGAGTTAAATTGTACCGGTTTTAATAGTTGGAGGAGTCATCCTACCCGGTTTTCTGGTTAAGGGGTATGAATTAGATTCGGCGTACTTTTAAGGGAGTCAATGTGGACTTTTTCCTAAAGTAAAGTGGTACTGGGCTGGTCCTCTTCTTTTCCTTCAGTTCATTACTTATCCCCCAACTGTAGCCCCAGATTGACTCATAGTCATATCTGGCCCTGAACCCAAAAATCAGATATAGAACATACTAAGGGTGTGTTTAGTTCACGTCAAAATTGAAAGTTTGGTTGAAATTGAAATGATGTGATGGAAAAGTTGAAAGTTTGTGTGTGTAGAAAAATTTTGATGTGATAGAAAAGTTAGAAGCTAGTTTGAAGAAAAATTTTGGAACTAAACTCGGCCTAAAAGTATTAAAACCAAATCAATTTATGTATCTCAGCGGTTTGGATGACAACTTTATCGTACGTGGCTGTCTATGTGGAATTTCAGTTTTTAAAAATAAACAAAAACAGTGCAGCAGCAACAAACATACGTGCGTATATATACATGCTCAATATGTGTTTGGAACTCTCTATACATCCTTGGACAGAATTTTTTTATGACCAAATCACACAGAATTTTTAGCCCTTGGATTGAAAACGAACGGTAAACCATACTCGTATAAGGGTACTAGCGTATAGTACCCATTAATCAAGTTGCATTGATGGGTAGATAAGAAATTCCCTCAATGTACGGACTGCATGCGGACAATCAGCTTCAATTCGATCAGTACTACTTATGTAGTGTTGTACGTACGTACGCTCAGCGCCTCAGCAGGCCAAGAAAATTGAAGGGGCTTCCTCATCAAACACGTACATACGGCACATGACAAAAACATTTGCTGGACTTGTAGCAAAGTAAATTTCCAGATAGCATTACGAATAACGACGATGATTATATATATGTGTGTGTTAATTACTCTAGTACAATGTGTATGTGGATGCGTATGCGTACGTACATACTTGTCCCTATATAGCTAGTTGATTAATAACCGTACGTGAAATCAGGTCAGTTGACTCAGTTTCAGTTTCATTAAGTGTACGTATACTGAGTTACGACCTACACCCTCCGTCGCGCAACAATATTTTTTTTTCTAACTTTAAACGTTTATCTTATCTGGTTTTTTTTAAAAAAATTAAAAACATAAGTCACCACTAAAGGATTATTCATGTACAATAAAAAAAGGATTATTCATGTTTTATCTTTTAATAATAAAAAAATATTAATCATAAAAAAATTTTAAATAAAATGGACGATCAAAGTTAGACACGAAAACTCATGGCTGCGCTTAAAATGGGATAGAAGGAGTACTAGCTAGTACGCGAGTACTCATCTATCATATACATATTCAAATATCAATTTCGATCGATTAATTAAATTCCCACAAGTAGCTAATTATTATTTGTATGTACAATTAATTAGGATACTGTTTGTACGCATGCATGCATCTAGTTAAATTCTGGGCATTTATATTTAACTAGGAATATCTATATCTCTATAGTAATCCATATGTACCCAAAAAAAAAGTCCAACCATAGCTTCCCAAGGTAAATACAAGGTAAGAGACAAATGACCAAAATGCCTCTAATTAATAGTAAAGTTATATTGATTGCTGGGTAGGTGAGGGGTAATAAAGAGATAAAACTTCTTGATTTGCTGACCGATAGTAGGTAAGAAGGTAGAAGTTTGTTTATTTTGGACAAATTTTAAATTCTAGAAGTTTGTTTATTTTATAATTGAGGGAGTAGTCATGAGGGGCCGGGTGAGGCTAGGCATATATATTACGCATTGTGTTAGAGATAAGTTTTCGTTAATAACTCTACCAAAGAATATGTGTAACCCTATTATGTAGGAAAGCGATTAGAAATTAGGTACTGATCTTTTAGTATTGATAACTCTCGATTTGGCAGAAACTTGACACACACGATTTGGATTTCGATCAACACAATCCGAACCCTTCAATCGCAATATCACATCTCCTCTTGTTATCAACTGTGTGCTGTCCGATCGACCTCGCCGGGAAGGCATATTCCTACACGCGAATCAAAAAATACAAGCAAGAATAAGATAGATTGCAACTACTCAATATACAAATAAATGAGTAACATCTCAAAGTTGAGGTTTCACAAACCGAACTAGCAGCAAAATTGCAATGACAAAAATAATGTAAGCAAAATCCAATCTTTGGGCTTAGCTCAAGATACAATTACAAGACCAAAGGCGCAAATTAGACTCAGATTAGATGAAGCATGTTCTTGCTTTGTAGATTCTTGATAGATCGGTAGAAATTTTAATGTGGGACCAAAACCATATGAAAATAGATTTCATAAGCTTTCCAACAAGTACTTATGAGTCTCGAGATTCCTTCTAAATCAGCGGCTAGATCTGTTTGAAGTTGATACTTTCAGAATACCCGAATCTGAATCCGAAACATATAGAACTTCATATCTTACTTTCTATAGACCAAAAGTGACGTGTTAATTAATGTTACAATAGGCTTGGTGAAGGTCTTGGTTTGGTCCCCAATAAAAATTTATTTGAGCATCCATGTATTCCTTGCGCTTGATCTTTTTTCCTTCACCCAAGTAACTCTGCAAGAACACACAAAACTCATAGCACAACAATATTTGTTTAAATATATAATAGACAAATCTCACATAGAAGACATGCATATTTAGTTTATAAATATATAAGGTAGTCATGGTCATATCCGATCTAGTGATGTCCTCGTTAGAAAGTGACTAAGGAATACGTACTATGGTATATCAATAACTATTTTGAATGACATAGTATATGGATTTCCTAACGTTCATTGGACATATATATATATTTTTTGGAAGGATTTCATGCGGATTCTCTATCATCATATCCGCATTAAGATTCGTGCCGGTAGGTTCCTTCTCCTCTAGCTCCGGCGCACCGGTGGTGATTTGTGCCACAGTACTCCTTCTCCAGCTCTAGACAACCGACGATGACTTGACTAGTCAAGATCGATTTAGGGCTTGGAGTTGGAGTGTCGGGTGGAAAGGGGATGGGGAGAGGCCAGGTGCTGGAGGAAGCGATGGAGCGTCGTCTTGTACGGGAGAAGGGGATGTACGTACAGGGAGAAAATTGCATTAATCTTGACGTGATATATCTGAGCCGTCGTCTAAAATTGAATTCTAGCAAATGTTTGGCGGGTAGTTGTGGAGTACTCCCTCCATCCAAAAAAAAAAGCAAACCCTGGGTTTCCATGCCAACGTTTGACTGTCCGTCTTATATGAAATTTTTTTATAATTAGTATTTGAGTAAATTTCACATTGCACCGTATATTTTGACCAAAGTTTCACAATGGACAAGGACGAAACCAACCTTTTCACTTAACACCACATATCTTTGCACTAGTTGGCACTTTGGACTAGGGTTGAGCACATTAATAGAAGTTGTTAGAGAAAAGCTAGTTCAAACAATCATTTTTAGTTCCATGGTATTAAGATAAATATCTTTAGAAAGAAATAGCAAATCACAAAACAACTTTTTTCAGCACATCACACTAAAATAATGATGTCAATATGTTTAAAAGTGGCACAAAATGATCTATACATAGGGGCAAATGAATAAAAATAAAACAGAAAATAGTTAATTACCACTCACACTAAAAAGAAGGAAGAAAACATAAAATGTTTTGTCTTTTATAATTATCCATGTGTAAATCATATGAAGTTTTCTCACATTCCCTTGCTATGCTCACCCCTAGTCCAAACTGAAAACTTATGTAAAGATGTATGGTGTTAAGTGAAAACATTGATTTAACCCTAGCCCATTATGAAATCTTGGTCAAAATTTGTTGCCCCATGTGAAATTTACTCTTAGTATTTTCATTGTTGTTAGATGATAAAACATGATTAATAATTTATGCGTGACTTATCTTTTTAATTTTTTTCATAATTTTTTCAAATAAGATGAACGGTCAAACGTTGGACACGGAAACCAGGGTTTGTTTTTTTGGACGGAGGGAGTACGTACATAGTAATTCACAGATAAAGAAACTACTAGTACTGCTGTAATAATAAGATGGATGAGCGATTAACTGAAAAATTAAATTAATTGGTGGTCATTGGAGGGCCCGCCGAACGTCGGCCCATTCGGTACAATGTAGTTTTGATTAATCATATCGATCCTTGTTCCGAACATTGTACTAAATTCCAAGGTAGGTAGCTAAGATTAGATTAGATATGTGTGTGGTAGCTAGGTAAGTGTGTAGAACAGCTAGCTAGCTAGCTTGTTGCTGCGATGAGAAATAGGAGTATGCATGTAGAGATGGATCGGAAGAATTAATTGATGGTAATTAAGTCGGCAGCATGTATGACTGAGTGACTGACTAGCTTGCATTGTGTGGAGGTCGGCACGTAAAGAACAAAATAACCTGGTAAACGTATAATAAGATATGACATGCATGACGGAACTAGCAACCTACTAGCTAGCTTAGTGTACTCTGTGTACTGTATATCATCGTCTTTTCTGTTCCGTGCAAGCGCTGTTGCCTGCCTGTAGCTAGCTTTTATATCGTTGGTTCGATCGTTTAACATACATTCGATGAGTGTCCGGCACGAGCAGTGGATCGAGAGAGCAGAGCGAACGAGATATACAAGGGAAGAAGAAGAAGAAGAGATCGATCGATCGATCGATGGCGGTGGCGGCGAGAGTAGTGGAGGAGGAGGATCCAGATGTCGTAGAGATGATGAAGAGGAGGGATGATGAGGAGGAGGTGGTGGGTGAGGCGTGGGACTACAAGGGAAGGGGTGCCATCCGGGGGTCGACGGGCGGGTGGCGGAGCGCGGCGATGATCCTGTGCGTGGAGCTCAACGAGCGGCTCACCACCCTCGGCGTCGCCGTCAACCTGGTGACCTACCTCACCGGGACTATGCACCTCGGCAGCGCCGCCTCCGCCAACGCCGTCACCAACTTCCTCGGCACCTCCTTCATGCTCTGCCTCCTCGGCGGCTTCCTCGCCGACACCTACCTCGGCCGCTACCTCACCATCGCCATCTTCACCGCCGTCCAAGCGGCCGTACGTTGTTACGGCGTCTCCTCTCCTCTCTGTCCATATATATATCATGTTGTATTCATGCATGTTAATTAGCTAATACTTGCAGGGCATGGCCGTCCTGACCATCTCCACGGCGGCGCCAGGGCTCCGTCCGCCACCGTGCAGTAGCGGCGGGAGCGGCTGTGCGGCAGCCAACGGGACGCAGCTGGGAGTGCTGTACCTGGGCCTCTACATGACTGCGCTGGGCACCGGCGGCCTCAAGTCCAGCGTGTCCGGGTTCGGGTCGGACCAGTTCGACGAGTCCGACGGCGGCGAGAGGGGCAGCATGGCGCGCTTCTTCAGCTGGTTCTTCTTCTTCATCAGCATGGGGTCGCTGCTGGCGGTGACGGTGCTGGTGTACGTGCAGGACAAGGTAGGGCGGCGGTGGGGATACGGCATCTGCGTGGTGGCCATACTCACCGGCCTCCTCTTCTTCCTCGCCGGCACCACCACCTACCGCTTCAAGAAGCTGCTGGGGAGCCCCCTCACTCAGATCGCCGCCGTCACTGCCGCCGCCTGGACTAACCGCAACCTGCCACTGCCGTCCGACCCATCCATGCTCAACCACGACGACTCGGCCCACACCACCGCAAAGCCCAACCAAAAGCTGCCCCACTCCAAACAATTCAGGTACGTCAAGGAATTTCCGATTCTCTTCTAATCCGGTACGGTACGAATTGAAATATGAAATGGGGGCCATTTTTTTTGTATAAAAAAATCATATATGCAACGTACTTAATTCAATATATACTGTATTTTTCATACATATATAGGAAAATATTTGTTAAAAAAAGGGTAAAGGTTGTACGACGTACTTAAGCACACTGGACTGACCTCATGCATGTATTGGGATAAAATGTACCTTTTTTCCTTTCAATTCTGTATAGTACTTATTAACGAAGTGGATTAGAATTTGGAGCCCAAAAATTATGGCTTTGTAGTGCGGCTGGCCGCCTTGCCCTGTTGCCCATGCTAGGTACGCATGCACAGCCATAATTAATTAGTTTTGGACACTACTGATTGACATTCTGCTTCATCCTCCCTCTTAACTGGAGTAATTTGTCAATCTCTCGGATTAGTAGCAACTTACACGGAAGAAAATAAATTTGATCTTGCTTTCGTGTAGAGTAATTTATCACATATTAATATATATTATTAAAATTTCTTTCATGACTATTTAGGTGATGGCATGCAAATAACGAGAAAATATTTAGAATAGTTTCCCCACTAGCTAGTACTAGTTAAATCTAATATAGTAGTGCCGGTGTGTCGATCGATTGATGTATCCGAAATGCATGCATATACTATATACGGGGAAGCTATTTCATCCCTCGAGAGGATATTATCTCGTTGTTAAAGTCAAACTACTTTAAATTTGATTAAGTTTATAGACAAATATAGTAATATTTATAATATCAGATTAGTTTTATTAAATCAATAATTGAACATATTTTCATAATAATTTGTCTTGGGTTAAAAATGTTATAATTTTTTTTACAAACTTAGTCAAACTTAAAACAGTTTGACTTTGATCAAAGTTAAATGGAGGTAGTATATGTCTAACAATCCCTATTGAATTGGATGGATAATTTGTTTGAAGAAAAGAGAGAGAGTAATATTGGGGCGGGCGTGCAGGTTCCTGGACCATGCGGCGATCGTGGAGACGACGACGGCAGAGGCGAAGAAGAGGAAGAGGTGGGCGGCGTGCTGCACGGTGACGGAGGTGGAGGAGGTGAAGCAGCTGGTGCGGATGCTGCCGACGTGGGCCACCACCATCCTCTTCTGGACGGTGTACGCCCAGATGACCACCTTCTCCGTCTCCCAAGCCGCCGTCATGGACCGCCGCCTCTCCACCAGCTTCGTCATCCCCGCCGGCTCCCTCACCGTCTTCTTCGTCGCCGCCATCCTCCTCACCGTCCCTCTATACTACCGCCTCCTCGCCCCGCTCGTCCGCCGCCTCACCGCCAACCCGCGGTACGACCTCTCCCCGCTCCACCGCATCTTCGTCGGCCTCCTCCTCGCCGCCCTCGCCATGGTCGCCGCCGCGCTCACCGAGCGCGCGCGCCGCGACGCCGCCGTGACGCTGTCGGTGTTCTACCTCCTGCCGCAGTTCCTCCTGGTGGGCGCCGGCGAGGCCTTCACCTACATCGGGCAGCTGGACTTCTTCCTGCGCGAGTGCCCCAAGGGGATGAAGACCATGAGCACGGGCCTGTTCCTGAGCACGCTCTCGCTGGGCTTCTTCTTCAGCACGGCGCTGGTCACCGTGGTGCACAAGGTCACGGCGGAGTCCCGGCGGCCATGGCTCGCCGACAACCTGGACGAGGGAAGGCTGGACAACTTCTACTGGCTGCTGGGTGGGATCAGCGTGGTGAACCTAGCGGTGTTCGTGGCAGCAGCAGCCAGGGGGTACGTCTACAGGGAGAAGCGCCTCGCCGACGCCGGAATAATACATATATAATCAGCGCTAGCTCTGTCGACGACCTCCTCATCCCCGCATGATATCTACTCTACTACCATTGATTCGTGATAAATATAATGGCAAATAGTATAATTAAGCTTACAAAAAGTGAGGAAACCAATATATAATCATCGATGTAACCGGCAGCTAGCCTAGCTTATAAGTACTATATACGCACGCATCCAGGTAATTAGCCGCTTTGTACTATAATTAACTTGTCAAGCTGTGCGTGTGTTTCATCTTGAACAACTTTAGAGCCATGTTTCAACAGATGCTATGCTAACTGTGTATCTTGCATCCATTTTTTTCTGGCTGGCCAGCAGCTGCAGGCAGGAAACGCATATTGGGCCGACTTTCCTAGCTAGGCCGATTAATTGGACCGGCCGGCAGCGAGCGAGCGATCCAATTATTTGGGAATAAGTCCACTTGCTTTATACATCAAGTTTAATTTTGACATATCTAAACCGTAATACCATAAATCTTTAACCCCCCACATCTAGCCAAAACCGTTCAACTAAGGTTCCATGCCAGACTGTCAGTAGGGAGGGCTGGTTTTGTTGACGTGGCAACCTAGTTAGCAAAAGAAAATTTAAAAAAACATGAGGCCCACATGTAAGTAGACTTCACCTAAAAACGGTTGTCTGTCTATGGAACGCGAACGCTGGAACGCCGGCATGACACCATCAGTGACGAGACATGCAGGCCCATCCCAAAGGGCACGCAACCTGCGCGCTCACGTAGGGCCCTCATCTTCTACTCCATCTTCGCCATCATGTGGGAGAGGTGAATTCTGCTTACATATGGGTCCTATGTTTTTTTAAAATTTTTGTTTTTGCTGACTAAGATGCCATATCGGCAAAACCAACCCTCATACTGTAATCGAACCTGAGTTGAACGGTTATGGCAAGATGAGGGGTGAAGATTTCTGGTATTATAGTTTAGGTGGGTGTCAATTAAATAACGATGTAAAGACGAAGGATGTCTAGTGGACTTATTCCAATTAATTAAGCATGTTCTCTCTTGCGTCCTTGTGCGCCTCATCCAAAACTTTTGTAGCAAAAGGCCACGGCTTACAGCCCTCCTCCTTTTAAGGCATGTTTGGATTGATGCCAATTTATGCCCTACCAATATTTTGTTAATTTCACTAGTAATTGTTGGTATTTATTGAAGCAAAAAATTTTCAATATTGCTACAACTAATTATCACAAAATTTGTAAAACATATAAATATGCTTTAATAATCGCTAATAATGACAAATAATCATAAAAAACGCCAACAAAGTTTGAAAAAGCAATCGTGTATTACCAATTCTCTGGGCGTAATTGATGAAAACCTGCATGGCTACTGTTTTTCTTATCCACATCTTATCCACATCACACTTTTCAGATGAAGCCAGAATCAAGCCTAGTATGTGGCCCTGAATAAAGGATTTATTTGAGACATTATAAAAACTATAGCATTCTTAGAAAGCCACAGAGAACCCAACAAAGTGCTAATTAAACGCCCTACTAATACTTGTCTTTCAATATAGCTCACATTCGTTCAATAAGCTAATTCCAAACATATGGGCAACACTATTTGGTGGAACAACTAAACCAAAAGGAACATGGACCGATCTTAAAAAAAAAAGGAAATTGCTATGCATATAACCTAATTGTCTCACTCACGTACGACTAAATTTGATCAACAGCTGCAAACATTGTATTGCATATATGAGCATCTTCTTCTTTGATTGATCTATGATTATAAATGGCTAGTTGTACATGATCGAGTTGTACAATTTATTTTGTATGTGTAGCATTAATAAAAAAAGCACAGCGACATTGGAAGGAGAGAAAATCCAAGAAATGCCATTGACAAACACTCAAATTCAAGAAATGCCATCGACGAATGCAAGTTCCATGAAATGCCATCGTACAAGCGATTTTGTCCCAGAAATATCATCACTGTTAGGGTTCCGTTAGCAACGTAACCTTCCGTTAAGTTCTATAGGATGAACAATGTGTTTAATGGCGTGGAATGGACGGAACCCTAACGGTGATAGCATTTCTGGGACAAAATCACTTGTACAATGGTATTTTATAGAACTTGCATTTATCGATGGCATTTGTTGGATTAGGGTGTTTGTCAATGGCATTTCTTCGATTTTCTCAAGGAAGAAAAAGGAGATGAGTTGTTTCATTGTGCATAAAAAAAATACTATGTCAGTTTATTAGCATGCAAATTCTTCCTAGCTAAATTGTCTAATTTGGCTAGAACAACTTTACGTAATTAAATGCCACATGAAAAATTTAACTTAATCATAAATGGTATCTTAATTTATTATTTTTAAATATATCATTAGTCTACATATATACCTGTTGTACAATCATAGCTCTGTAAATTGAATGGAGGGGAAAATTTGGCCGTGTTCTGATGGTGTGTGTGATTAAGCTAATCAATCGATATATATGGACTATTACAGGTCAATTGTATAGTTGATTAAGCTACCTAATTGATGTGGACCATATACTGTGGACAAATGATTAAGCTACGTACTACTATAAGCTGTATATATAGGAGTAGTATATATCTTATATATATTGATGATTGATCGATTGGTTGGTTGATTATATCCTGGGAATGGAAGCTGCGCGCACCATGTCGATCGATGGCACAAATGTGGCGCATGCATATATACGGCCGTGGCCATTATTAATTAGTTTATGCTGCGTTGTATGTATATACTGTATTATCGTTGTCATCAGCTATAGAGCGAGAGCAATGGGCAAATAGTTAATCAATTAAAGAAGATATATGATCCCCCTGATTGGGCAACTGGAACTGGGCTATAAATAGGAGCGAAAACACCCCCGAGGAAATGCATCCCGGCCGATCGAGCTAGCAAATATCAAAAAGCAGCTCCAGCTTCTTCTGATCGATCGATCGAGCTGAGCTATAGGCAGTAGCTGCTAATTAAGCTAATTAATTGCTAAGCAGTAGTAGAGCTAGCTAATTAATTAAGATGGCCGGCAAGAAGGTGCAGGTTTGTGCGCTGTTCCTTGCCCTCAATGTGCTCTTCACCATGCAGATGGGTGCAGTAGTGCAGGCATGCGAGCCCTACTGCCCCACACCGACGCCGCCGGTGACGCCGCCTCCGTCGCCGCCGTCGGGTGGAGGGAATAAGTGCCCGATCGACGCGCTGAAGCTGAGCGTGTGCGCCAACGTGCTCAACCTGCTGAAGCTGAAGATCGGCGTGCCGGAGAGCGAGCAGTGCTGCCCGTTGCTGGGTGGCCTCGTCGACCTCGACGCCGCCGTCTGCCTCTGCACCGCCATCAAGGCCAACATCCTCGGCATCAATCTCAACATCCCCGTCGATCTCTCTCTCCTTCTCAACTACTGCCACAAGACCTGCCCCTCCGACTTCACCTGCCCTCTCTAAATTAATCGATCCTCCGATCCCTTAATTACCATACCATTACACCATGCATCAATATCCATATATATATAAACCCTTTCGCACGTACTTATACTATGTTTTGTCATACATATATATGTGTCGAACGATCGATCTATCACTGATATGATATGATTGATCCATCAGCCTGATCTCTGTATCTTGTTATTTGTATACCGTCAAATAAAAGTTTCTTCCACTTGTGTTAATAATTAGCTACTCTCATCTCATGAACCCTATATATAACTAGTTTAATTTGCTGTCAATTGAACATGATGATCGATGATGCACTGCACATACATATATATCGACGATGCGCCAATGCATCAACGTACGAATCAATATGATTTAGGGACTGCTTGTGACTGAAAATTCCATTCTAAATCATGTAAATTTTGGGAGAAATTTCATGGTCCTTAAAAAAATATCTCAAGGTACGCAAATTCAACACTAATTTTTTTGGTATTTCGAGTTACTTAGTATCTAGAGATACCAAATTTTACACTAAAAATGTGATACCTCCCAATACTTTTTCAAAGATGATAAAATTACCTAAATTTTAAACCGCGCCACTTAAAACTAACTCCTCCTCCCTCCTCCCTCACTCCCAATTCAACACGTACCGCCGCCACCGATTCCCCCACCTCTCCTACAAAGTCAATAAGTCATGTCGCCCAATAAAATGCATGCTCCTACTAACACTTATCATTTTGAGTTTACATCCCATTCCAACAAGCCAATTTCTAAACATTAGTACTATTTGATAAAACTAAACTGAAAGTAAAAGTAACATGGACCGATCTTCAAAGATATTTAACATATATCATGATATTCAAACAAAACGATGAATTGCTTCATTCTGCACAAAAGGACTACACTATTTACTACCATCCAACTCCTCTAGCTAAACTGTTGGTTAGAACAACACCTTTATGTAAACCGTAAGTGGCGTCTTCAATTATCATAATATTTTATTAGAGCATCGCCAACAGCATAACTCAACTCCTCCCAATCCTAAACTTAGGGGATTTTAGTTGAAAAAACCGCTCCAACAGATCAATCACCTAGTCATCTACTCAAGAATTGGAGTACTTGCTCCCAATCAATTGCCTGCCAGGGGAGGGGGAGGGAGAGGCAATCGCGCGACGCGGGATGATGGGACGAATAACATTTTTTATTGGTAGTTTGGGGTGGCCCATACTTTTTGTTTAGGGAGTCATGCTTTAAACTATCTGTTGGAGGGAGACATAATTTTAAATTCTAAATGCTCCTTAGAGGATCCTGAAATGAGATTTCGAGCCAGGATTAGAAATTAATGAAAGCGTTTGGCATGTTCTTATTAGTCTCTATGTACCTATTGGTCATCAGAATTATGTTTATTGATTGGACGGAAAATTTCCCATTTTAATCGATAAATATATGGACTATTGAAGGTCAATAAATAGTTGATCAAGCTGCTAATCAATTGATATCAACTATATTATGGAAAATTGATTAAGTCAAAGTGAATTGCACGAGTAGTCCCTAAACTTATGATATTGTGTAATCTATAGCTAGGTTCCTAAACTTTTAAAATGCAGATCTAGCTAGGCTCCGGAACTTACTCTAGCGCGCGTCGGATGACAAAATGGAATGGTGTTGCCTCACCATGAGGATCCCAAAACCACTGGCCTTTGGCCTGCCTCATCTCTCTCATTTACCGTGCTGGCCTACTATCAGCCTTGGTTAACAGAGAAAAACTGATTGATCACCCTTTTAATTTCTTGAGATAAATGATTAAAAAGGGAGAGAGTTGAGAGAGAAGAGGCAGTGTCATATTGGTTCCACATGGGATTTCAGAGGGTAGATCGATATACTATTGATATAATTGATGGATTGACTGGTAAACCTTAGGTAGCAAACTGCATCATGTCGATCATTCCATTGCGCGAAGAATGTCGTCCCTGACACGATGGCCATCAGTTTAGGTTATTGTACGTTAGACTAGTTGGCATCAGCTCAGCTAGCTAGCCACGATAGCAATGGGGCGGGCGAGAATATATAAATATTAATAATGAATTTAAAATAAAATAAAACTGCATGCAAGCGATGGATAGCCACAATATATATATAGGGCTTGGGCACCTGGAGCTGCCTATAAATAGCAGCCCAAACACCCCCCGAGGAAACCATCCCAAGCTAGCTAGCTAGCAGCAGCAAAATATACTATATCATCATCAATTAATTAAGCTAGTACAATTAAGAAGTAGCTAAGTAGTCCAATACGATGGGCGGCGGCAAGAATAAGGTGCAGGTTTGTGCGGTGTTCGTCGTTGCTCTGAATATGGTCATCTCCATGCAGATGGGTGCAGTGCAGGCATGCGAGCCCTACTGCCCCACCCCGACGCCGCCGGTGACGCCGCCTCCGTCGCCGCCGTCGGGTGGAGGGAATAAGTGCCCGATCGACGCGCTGAAGCTGGGCGTGTGCGCCAACGTGCTCAACCTGCTCAAGCTCAAGGTGGGGGTGCCGGCGAGCGAGGAGTGCTGCCCGCTGCTGGGGGGGCTCGTCGACCTCGACGCCGCCGTCTGCCTCTGCACCGCCATCAAGGCCAACGTCCTCGGCATCAACATCAACGTCCCCGTCGACCTCGTCCTCCTCCTCAACTACTGCCACAAGACCTGCCCTTCCGACTTCTCCTGCCCACTCATCTGATTCTTAATCTTCATTACCACCACAACCCTAGCTACCTAATTAAGGCTTAAGCTTTGCATGGCTTAGTCTGTGTGTTGCAGTTGTGTCATACATATATACTTATCTCGATCTATCAGTGTGATTATTGATGATCAGATCGATCATCTAATATATGTATCTTGTTATTTTAATGCGTACTGTCAAATAAAAGTTTCCTCCAGTGTACGTACGTTCTATCTATCTATCTGCTCATTAACAAATTAAGCCAGTTTGCGCTGTGAATTATGTATTGAATGTGATGATCGACCGATGGATCAGAACGCGCCAATTAATATATGCATCGTCAACGAACAAATTAATACGATTCTTCACCGCGCCTTGTCAATTACTCCTACATTACATTCTACTATTAATTAATTTCTTCAATTCGTGACGTGTATGTACACACTCCTGTGTGATCTGTACATGCATGCACGTTTTACGTAAAAAACAGGCAGGGACCAGCCAGCAGAGGTCGACACACTGCTTAGCCTATATGATTGTTGGGCCATGCATATTACTAGCTACCAAACAATTTCATATATTCTTTTTAGCATTCTTCCAAAAAAACAATTAATTCTTAACAGACGCATGCAGAACTGAAACAGAGAGACGACCAATGCATATTCCTTTACTCTGAAACGCTGTTGCAATTAACGCATTCAACGAACACATATGTATGCACATACGATATACTTCATCTTTACTGTAGTAGCAATATACTACACATCTGTTCCAAATTACTCCCTCCATCCCATTTTAAGTATAACCATAAGTTCCCGCGCCCAACTTTGATCGTCCGTGTTATTTAAAAATCACTACTAGCTACTCACTACGACTGAAATAAACAATGCCATGATCATCAAGCCTAAGTTAGTTAAAACAGTTCTTCTTAATTAAGCTCTGTGCATGGTCTGTCATACGACCGAGAGCTCTTAATTAAAAATCACTATTATATATAGTCAGCTACTTATGATTAACCTCAACAACGTACGGCGATATTAATTAATTAATATATGAGTTTCAGTTACTTATCGATTATTTGACTCTCTGTTCGGTACTTTACCATATAATGTACGTACACGACCAGTATTATACATGTAAAATCGATCAAACGCTAGCTTAGCTACTCACCGAGATTACTCCGAGATATATATTGACCGATCACTGAAAAACAAATAGTCGTACATCGTCGTTCGAATATCGGGACAGAACCGGAGAAAACACGCATGGATGGATAGAGATTGAAGCTGTTTGAGTATGTACAGATGGAACTAATGGCTAGCTAAGCTAGCTACTAGTGCCGACATACAGAAGAAGACCTGATAGGTACTGTCCAAAACTCTGAACAATCGTCGGTCATCAACCATACAAAAAATGACAAAAATATTACTATACATCATGGCATCGAACAAGTTTAATTAACCCAGCACGATTACTAGCTATGATATATATATATATATATAGCGCCATCCATATCATCTAGATATATACTATGTGTGTGTATTTATATATGTATAGAGACGAAATGGCCACGTAATTAAATAGACTGGCATGGCATATATGTCAACTTGTGCAATATTGGACTGGAGTACTGGAGCTACTACACTACATGGGCTCGGACAGTTAAGCAAAGTCGTACCCACCACCACCCTGAAAGCGATCAGAGATCGATCGATCGAACGAATTCATCTGACAATACATATATACTATTAATCTATATATACATGCAGGTACAAATTAATTAATCCATGGAAGTTAAAGAATATATATAACACGATGACAGCTAAATGAATACTACTCTCTCCGTTTCAAAATATTTGACACCGTTGACTTTTTAGTATATGTTTGACAGTTCGTCTTATTCAAAAATTTTGTAAAATATGTAAAACTATATATATACATGAAAGTATATTTAACAATGAATTAAATGATATGAAAAAAATAAATAATTACTTAAATTTTTTGCATAAGACGAATAGTCAAACACGTACTTAAAAGGTCAACGGTGTCAAATATTTTGAAACGGAGGGAGTACTATTCAGAAAATGAACAAAGTAAGAGGCTAGCTTGCAGGGTTGCGTGTGAAAGCAAGAATAACAGCGTGTCCCCGATGGCCACAAAATTAACTTATTTCAAGACGCTATGTCTGACCTAACGGATGCTACGTACAAACATGCTCCGTAGTAGTATACATCAATTAAGGGTGTGTTTAGTTGAGGAAATAAAAATTTTTGGGTGTCACATCGGACATTTGACTGGATGTCGGAAGGGGTTTTTGGACACGAATAAAAAAACTAATTTCATAACTCGCCTGGAAACCGCGAGACGAATCTTTTGAGCCTAATTAACCCGTCATTAGCACATGTGGGTTACTGTAGCACTTATAGCTAATCATGGACTAATTAGACTCAAAAGATTCGTCTCGTGATTTCCTCCCTAACTGTGTAATTAGTTTTTTCATTTATCTACATTTAATGCTTCATGCATGTGTCCAAAGATTCGATGTGATGTTTTTGGAAAAAATAATTAGGTAACTAAATGGGGCCTAAGCTGTCACGTTCAATCTATCTATATCATATCCATCCTGGTCCTACTCCGAATAATCCGATCGATCGATGGCCCTGCAAGCTAATAGTATGCGTGTACAGATGGTGGTCGTGACGTCCTCGTCGCTCCGCTCGTGACCTTTGCCGCCACCTGCACACTGTAGCCTCTGCCTCTCTCCAAGGGCATGCATGCAAGTGTTTTTATTATTTCTCGATCGACTATATTTATCTATTTTTCTTGTATATATGTTTGCTAAATATTTATTAATTTTCTTCTTCCAAAAAATTGATAAGATGAATCAATATGAAATATATAAATTAACACGTTCGACTTCTACAAATCGTAACAAATTAAATTATATATAGTCGTATATTAACTAAAATTTAATTTGTTATAATTTTTAGGAATCAAATTAAAGTTTATATGTTTTTGTGGTGGTATATTTCATATTTCTCTATTTGTTAATATCTATTCTATATCTATATCTATACTATTATAAAAATTAAAGATGTTTTTGCCGGTATTTTTGGTACGTCATCCGTGTTTGAATCGGTTTTTAAGTTTAATTAATCGCTCTTGGAAATACAGATCCGTGTTTGAGTCAGTTTTTAATTTTGTTTGTTTTTAGAAATACATAAAGAGTCGTATAAAAAATCTCTTTAAAAACTTGTATACTAACTTGAGACGATCAGACCCCTAATTGCGGCTCATGATTTTGTAAAAAGAATATCCAAGCGAATTCCCAAGGTGAATTTCACCTTAGCTAAACTATACAATAATAATATTATTAAAATTGCTTTCACCTGCTGCAACGCACTGGTATTTTTCTAGTTTAAAAAAAAAAGATAATCCAGAATGCATGCATGCATGTAAGAAACAAGAGGATGTCCCTTAAAAGTTGAAAATCCATCCCCTCTGTAATAAAAAGATTTATATATCATTATTTCTACGCCATCATCTTAATTGTACATACAGAATTAGCTAGCTATAGATATAGAATAGTATATATTAACCGATCATAAATATTGTATAATATATAAGTTTGTGCATCATGGATTGAACGTGTTGATCGGTATATATAACATCCATGCATGCAATATATTATTCTTTAATTAATTGCAACAGTATAATGATCCTACATACAAGATTGTATATATTGGCCAAAAAGAGGGAGAAATATAATGGCGGGTAATTAACTTGATGATTGAATGATATATATGTCGGCTGACTGGTGACGTGACTAATTAAGCGAAGGCAATGCAATGGGTACTCCACTAAGTAAGACAAATTATGGTCGTCACGTCATGGTTGATCCATCATGCATATATGTTCATGTATTGGGTGAAAGAAGAATATTAGGTTTGTTTTCATTCGTCCCGTGACTACCTTTATCGATCTGCATATATATCAATGGCAAGTACGCGTCCGTCCATATAAATGTATACTCCTACCATGTACTTAAAAAAATACGTACTACATGCCAGCTAGCCTATTACGTTCCTGTCCTTTCCCAACATCACGCTAATCGATCGGGCTAGTGTTTTCTTTTTGTGTGAGCGTGTGTATATATAAATGTACATTATATTAATTAGTTATTAGCTAGCTAGGGCAATAGTATAATTTTCGGGAGATGATAGTCCAGTAATTAATTATCGGTCAGTTAGCAGGGATTGATCACACGTTGCATTCAAACGCGTACAAAACCACCACGTACGATACCTATAGTGTCTATATATATATTCTGTACTGATCAGTAGTACATATCACTTGGAAATCATTACTGATCCCTCGATATCACTTGTAATTCAGCAGCCAGATTAATATATCACCCTTTAATTAATTTCCTCATCGTGTTTTGGACTTATTAGCTAGCGTGCGACCTGGCTCCTGCATTTGCATGTGATCTAGATCTTCCCCTATCTCCTACTTACAGTGACACATTGATTATTATTTAATTACCTGTGTGGCACAGGAATAACAAACCATGATGCTGGATATATACTTCGTCCGTTCCTAAAGTACTGTAATATTAGCTAGTCAAAAACAGATTTAAGTACAGAACTAAATTCTACTGTGTTCTTTATTAATTAATACAAATAGAAAGCAAAGGAGGGATTACTGCCGATTCGATAGCTGCTGCTGCTATTATTATTATTATTATTATTATTATTATTATTATTATTATTATTATTATTATTATTATTATTATTATTATTATTATTATTATTATTATTATTATTATTATTATTATTATTATTATTATTATAGTACTAAAGAGATCTAGATCACACTTAAAAATATGATTTGTGGGATACTTAACATGAACTAGTAAATTAATATCCATAATATATGTGCTGATCGATCCGTATGACTTCAGAAAAAAATGTGTATTCACATATCGAGAGAACATGTCCCATTTTCTCAAAATATATGTAAATTATATATGTATGTGATAAAATTCAACTCTAAATTTAAATGAGAGAATAGATAGATAGAAATCTAAACTGTAAATAATACGTGCATATTTGCCGCCTTGATCTTTTTTCACTCTAGCTAGCTTTATGTTGGTCGAGTTTAGATCGACTTGAATATATATATGCGTTGTTATTTTTTTAAGAAACTATTTGCATTGTACAATTTGGGAAGCAAAAACACACACAATTGCAAGCAGGTGATCTCGATGGATGAAAAATGCAAGTGCACGAATTCCTAACATATATATACTCAGAAATGATAATGCGGAAGCCGCCGATGGATAGACAAATAGCAATTAATTGTGTGAAAGCCTGACAAGTTTGAGTCAGTTATTATGGCTAGGCGGCTAGCTATAGACGACCAAACCCAGAGCCGGCCGGCCTGTTAAAATCACAGGAAAAAATGCAGTACTCCAGTATATATGTCTATCAAAGTCGTCGTTGTCGTCGACGAAGAATCTGCCGTCAAACAATTTGCGTATATATATAGGGTACGTAGGAGTAGTTATTTATACTTGCTTAATTTGCTGGCCATATATATACATGCAAGCAAGTCATCAGATCGATCGAGGTACAAGCTTAATTTCTATAGAGCTATATATACATAGGTCGTAGCTGCTAGCAGCTGGTTGCGTTTACTTTGATATCTATCTATATGTATGAAACCGATTATTTATAGATATATATAGATATGAATACATATATACATGGCCATACGTATTAGTTTATACGCACACGTACATGCCGTCATGAAAATCTCATCATGATCGACCAGCTAGCCTGGCAATTCTCGGCTCCGATCCTGCGCGTACAGTGTTCAATCGATTATTTATTCTGCAGAATGGGCCCAATTTATTTATTTATTGGGCCAAATTCAAACCTAATGGGTATATGCATGGGGTTGTCTTTTTCCCCTTTTCTTAAAAAAAAAGCTAGCGAAGGTGCTCTAAAATTAAGGTGAAGATTAATCCTAATTAAATGGAAATAGACTGATGCAATTGACATAGCCCAACAGCATTGTTTCACCAATTGCATTAAGGTCCTCTCCATGACATGTGTGACTCGCTGGCTGAGTGGCTGTTTGTGGAGCTAGAGATTTCAAATGCAGCGGTCAGAAATTAAAGCTACTCAAACAAGCCCTACTATGTAACATTCGATATTGTTTATATATTCCGCAAAACGACTAGATCGATCGAACTAATATACATGGGCCTGACGTCCATGGGTCGATATTATTAATTGGGCCAGATTCAATTAAGTTAACCCGATGATCGATTGGCCTAGCTCGCTCTCTCTCTCTCTCTCTCTCTCTCTCTATATATATATATATATATATATATATATATATATATATATATATATATATATATATATATATATATATGCGATTTTGGGCTTCGTAATTCAGCAGGGCCGGGCAAATAAAGTACAGAACAGCAACAAGCTAGTTACTCCAATTATCTAACGCGCGCACATCCCGATCGACCCAGACATACATATGTCTGAATATATGTGTAGTGTATGCAGCCAAAAACTTGTTGAAACTAGTAAAGTTAGCTAATACTAGTACTTCATGTTCCAGATATAACAATTTTTAAGTAGCAAATCAAGTTTATCCTAAAATATAACTTCTTTTATCTAGTACATTATCTTTCTCAGCCAATCACAAGCTAACATCTTTTAATTTCACCATGTAGCTAGGCTCTCTTATTAACTAATCATAAGGTCGATATATAGTAGTTGACATGAAGATGGGAGTAGCCCCTTCATGCTAAAATTGATTTATATTGGGACAGAGACGCGGTGTACATCACCTAGCAAGGTGCATATATTTGAGTGTTAGATCGATCAATGTAGGTATGCATGTATTTCCGGGCGAGGACTGAATGTGATGCACAATTAATTTCGTGTACGTGTACGTCTTCACAAATCCCCAGGAACATGCATGCACGCATGCATGAAATTGAGCACGTATGGTAGTAGGAGTGGAGTAAGAGTAGGTACTATAGCAGACTATAAGCTAGCTATAAATATATTTTAAGAAGATAAAAGATGAGAGATAAGAGCAGCAGGCTATCTATTTGTAGCCAGCTGTAGCACGAACTTTAAGATGCTTATGTGTATGACAGATGAGACCAGATATTGATTATGTAGTATATATTTATAGGTAACTATTGTATGAATTGGCTATTAAGTTGACTATAGATGATTTGGAGCCAGCAGCTGGCTATACTATTAAACTTGCTCTAACAGCTGATGATATGATGTTGGAGCGATGTATATCCTGATCCTGCCAGTTGCAGCTAGCTACTGGATCGATCGACCGTACTTCCTCCGTCCCATAAAAAACGAATCTAGAACCGGATGTGATATATTCTAGTACGATGAATCTGGACAGATATATGATCAGATTCGTAGTACTAGAATGTGTCACATCCGGTACTAGCTAGGTTGGTTTTTATGGGACGGAGGGAGTATATATGTGACTTATCGATGAACTTTTTCGGTTAATTAGACGATGAGAAATGATTTTATGTGAAGTTAATTAATTAATTAACCTCTAACATTTAACTAATGCAGGTAATATATTATCTTATAGTTAATTAGACGCTAGAAAATGGTTTAAGATTGATCGAAACCAATATTAATTAATGAGGTCTATTTATAAAATTAATTCAGTTGCAATATATACACGCTCATTTAGCTAGTCTCCAAAATATATCGAAATAAATATCGATTGGCCCTTGCCTCCCGCAGGTATATTATTGCATATTCCCTCCGTCCCAAAAAAATAAACCCTGGGTTTTCACGTCCAATATTTGACTGTTTGTCTTATGTGAAATTTTTTTTATAATTAGTATTTTTATTGTTGTTAGATGATAGAACATGATTAATATTTTATGCGCGACTTGTCTTTTAATTTTTTTTTCATATTTTTTTTAAATAAGACGGACGGTCAAACGTTGGACACGGAAATCAAGGGTTTGTCTTTTTTTTTTGGGGACGAAGGGTGTATATATATATATATATATATATATGCTCGCTAGCAGAGTACTTGGCCTCCAACTCAATCGTCCTTGCGGCCAGCTAAGCTACCAAAAGCCCACTAGCTAGTAGCACTATACTCCAATGAATTAATGTACTCCAGGCCAGCTAGCTAGCTAGGTCACTAGTAGTAGTTACGCTGTAGTGATGTGAGCTGCACCTAAGATGAAATCCTAGTTAAAATCCGATTAGTTAATTAGTTAGTTAAGTGATGTGGTAGCTGGTTAAGTAATTGAAGGTACTCCGATCCTATTATAAATATGAGTGCACCCCTTGGTCCATAGATGTATCTGAATACACTGGCTAGCAAGCAAAGCTAGGTAGAGGCCAGGCCATAGATCGAGATCGATCTGCAGGTGCAGTGCGGTGGGTGGGCATGGCGACGAAAGCTGGGGTGATCGCCACGCTCCTGGCCCTGAACCTCCACTTCTTCACCTTCTCCGACGCGTGCGGCTGCCAGTGCGGCTCATGCCCTAGTCCCGGCGGAGGAGGCGGTGGCGGTGGCGGTGGCGGTGGCGGTGGTGGAGGGCGTGGAGGTGGTGGCGGGAGCGGCGGAGGTTCAGGTGGAGGCGGCGGTTCAGGTGGAGGAGGAAGCGGCGGCGGAGGTTCAGGCGGTGGAGGAAGCGGAGGCGGCGGAGGAGGAGGAAGCGGCGGCGGCGGGGGAGGAGGAAGATGCCCGATCGACACGCTGAAGCTGGGGGTGTGCGCGAACGTGCTGAATGGGCTGATAAACGTGCAGCTGGGGACGCCGCCGCGGCAGCCGTGTTGCAGCCTCATCCAGGGCCTCGCCGACCTTGAGGCCGCCGTGTGCCTCTGCACCGCCCTCCGCGCCAACATCCTTGGCATCAACCTCAACCTCCCCATCAACCTCAGCCTCCTCGTCAACTACTGCGGCCGCTCCGTCCCCTCCGGCTTCCAGTGCAGCAACTAATATAGCTGCTGCTCCATTCTACTTCACTGCTTGCTACACACAAGAACGTACGAAGAACGACCACCAGGCCACGTACAACTATATATCTATCTATGTCTAATTTGTTCCTTGTTCAAATCATCATATGTATCTGCGTGCCTTAATTTCCTCCTTCATCCCGTAAATTAATGAGATATATATGCATGCATATGATTCAGTTCCACGACGTAATTAAAGCATGCTTCATTCGTCTACTTGTATATGTGTATCTGCATAATTGATTAATTAATTTGTACTCGATGGATCTCATCGTATATGCATCAGTACGTACTGCATCTCGTCTTTTCTGCATGCCTGTTAATTCTACACATACTGTACTAGCTAGCTCTTGTTCGATCCATCGGTCCCAATCGTTTGTACTAGCTACGTACTGTCTTGTTCAATTGTTCCTCTCTCTCTCTCTAAAATAATGTGTATATACACACACACACATACATACTAGCTGTTTGTTTTCACAACACAAACATATAGTATATTACTCCTCCAGTCCTTCCTGTTAGTATAGACTATTAATATTATTAAAGATCGCATGCATATTAATTATTCATCAGCACTCTACTTCACTTCTTCTCTGAGACAAATGAAATATGTACGGACCTCAACTCTAGCGGGCGCTACATTTTTATCACTTAATATATAAGCTTATAGTATATATATACCAACGTATAATTAATCTCGCAATTGCGTGCGCTTCCATGGAATTAAACATCTGCAGGCTGCAAATTAAACTATTCTACAAATCTAAGCAGGGCAGAATAACTAGCTAGCTACTATAGCTAGCCTGTGGCCGGGCTCAATTATTATGCAGATATACTTATCTTCAAATTATGTACAAGTTCCGTTAATTATAAGAAATTATATATGTAGGATGCATGTGTGCATGTGCGTTTTTAGGCCTAGTGTATACGCACGCGTATATTTGAATGCAAGCGATAATTTGTACTAAGTTTTGGACACCGGCCTAAATTAAATTAAATTAACCTGGTGACAAAGTAATTAAAGTTATGATTATATATATGATTGAACGCACAAGCTAATCTCTGTCTCAATATCATACACACGTATAGCTTCGCCGGGCTTAATTAAGGGGCGTAAATTAAATTAATGACTTTCGGCAAATTAAACAAGCAGTCCTCATATATGCTTACCTCAGCATGCGTATGTATAAATAACACAAAAAAAAACTATATTTTGAAATCAGCATGAGAGGGAGGAGTGTCGGTAATACATATATATTAATTATATATATATATGTGTTCCTCAAGTAAAATATCTAGGATCCATGGTCAGATGTGGCTGCTGTGGTTTAGCTATCGGGAAGGGTGTTTTGTCTGATTAGAACCGATCTATGCATATATGCCACCCATAGTATATATCATGAGACATGAGCTGCTAAGTTTGACAGCTTGTCTCCTACATTTGCATGCCTGCAACTGCAAATGCATCCAAATACTTGCTCTAGCTGCATACATGCATGTTGAAAGATCATCAATCGAGTTTTGCAGTGCACAAATATATAAAGAGGCCGGCCGGTTAACTAACCATTTAATCTGCAGTAAATTATTGGATGTGCAGCATGCATGCATGCATGATTAATTAATTGCACACACACGGACGCACGTACGATAGTTAATAAATCACAAGGATCTGATGAGTATATAGGCAGGTACGAATGTACGATCGAGCTAAACGAACATATATAATTAAGGACTAGTAGTACTATTCATACACGTACATATGGGGCACGCGTATGTCTAAAGTGTCAACTATTGAAGCTGACTAGTCGAACGCTAGCTTAGATCGAGATCGATCGATTCCTAGGCTTTTGTCGCATGCAGAATATATATATGTCGTGCAGGGTACGTTCCCATGGACGCTCGTTTTAATTTGTTCAAAGTAATAAGATAGATATATAAGTACCAGTATTTTAAAAAGTCGGTACTGATATTTATCGACTTTTTTTTAAGGAAACAAACTCAATATTGATTTGGAACGCGCACGGGCTCTGGTGGATAGGAAACCACCCTGTCTGTTTCGGTTTTAGTCAAAAAGGCACTGATGTGTTGTTAATTATGTGGTATTGAGAAACAAATTTATTATTGTATTATAATCTAGTTCTGTTAAAATTAATTTGTATGCGCGATAATCCTTTTTTTAGTGTAAAGAATAATATTCCAATGTGCTGGAGAGATATAACATTCACCATGCACATATCAAGGAATTAGAACTACGAATTAGGTTATTGTATCACCTGTAATGTAATTTCAAATTCAATCCCCCAATAGAGAAAGAAATGGCAAGTCCAGCTGCACATAAGATAATATTCTAGTTAAATTTTGTTTCTTCCTCAATCTATATATTTGATATTATATATATGTGCTGTGATAGATGGTGATGTGTTATATATATTATTTGGTTTTCTGAGAGTTTGTTGTCAATAATTATTTTAACCATACACCTGTAATCTTACTAATATAAGAAAAGGGGATCGTTGGTCCGCTTCCTACCCTCCCTCCCCTCATATTGCACATGGCACGTCGTCCCTGTGTCCCGAAGAAAACTAAGGTCCCGTTTAGCACAGTTGTAACTCTAACTTCACCTCTTCTGGAGCTTGGAGTCCAGCCAAACGGTTTTAACTCCAATAAAAAATGAGTGGAGCTGGGTAGAGTATATATTCTTACAAAATGAAGTATAGAGGTAGAGTTGGGTTTAGGTAGCTCCACAACTCCACTCTAAACCAAACTCCTGGAGTTAAATTTAGGAGTTAAAGTCCTAGCTACCAAACGGGGCCTAAGTGGTTGGTAAAAAAAAACATAGTTATCGGAAAAAAAAAGGATGGATCGTGTGCATTAGGATTGATATCCACACTCCTAGTCTATTTCCATTTATATGTGTCTATTGTAATGCATGCATGGGCATATATATATTATTAGTATGGAAGAAACATGGAAGATTAAAACACTTTCTCCATGTACAACCGCAAAGCATGTAAACAAATTAAATAATGAAATGAAATGAGAGTAGAGATAAAGATGTGCTGTGATCAGCAGCTAGAGCTAGCAGGAGAGGATGGTGGTGGTACGATATGGTTGGTGCCCATACATTTATCGATCGCAATGGATGGAGGCGGCCAAGAGTTAGCTGGATGGAAAGGGCATTCTTCAGAATGATAAAACTATATGATCCAGGATTTGGAGTTTAGCGCAGCCCGTGATGGATCGGGGCCTAGCAGTGCAATGATCGATGGAGTAGCGCCAGCTGCTGCTTTAGTTTCTCTAGTTTGTAGTGTTGCCGGCCCAGGCAACAAGACGTCGATCGAAAAGATAGCAGCCAGAGCAGGTCCCCTTCAAAATTCCCTTCCACCACCTGCTAACCTAGCTAGCTACGGATCGAGTATCGATCATCTGCTTTAGTTGCTCATCCGTCGTCAGATCGATCGACTTTTCTTTGCTGGCCAGCCATGCAATTTGTCTCGATCTATCCTTGCATACATCTCGATATGTCAAATGCATGCATATATTCTTCTTCATGTATATCATCGATCGTGCGCAAGTGATTGTGATCTGTGATCTACTAACTACTCCAACTTCCTCCCTCACTAAATTAATGTAGATAACTTGCTAGGTTAATTCCTTAATTTTCTTTAATTTGTGTGTTTGCTTTGACTTGTTTTAATTTAATGACGACTACAGAGATGCATCATATATGGCTCGATCTGCATGCCGCGCCAACCTGATCGACCAGCCCAGGCCCATAAAATATATATGGTTCTGACTGATCGATCGAGATCTCACAAATTAATCTCGATCATGCATACATGTGTGTGTGTGTGTGTATAGCTAGCTAGGAGTAGTAGCTAGCTAATAATCTGTACGTTAACTGGAATATATGTAGTATAATATAATTCCGCTAGATATTTGGCCACTTTCCAAATACAAACAAAGCAAGCTCTGAAAGCCATCAGGAAAAACGTACAGTATCGGCTAGCTATATATTCAGCTGCATGCATGCTGCCTGTATACATCATGCATGACGATGATCGATGATGATAACTAATAGCTTGGCCACCAGCAATTGCTGATCCAAGAGAGACAACCACAGATTGCGCGCAGCAGGAGGCGTCAATATAATCGACTCCAGTACGTATTCTCTTTGCTGGCTAGCTAGCTGGGCTCCTAATTCGGTTTTGACTGAAACGTACACATATGCATACAGTATTACAGTGCATGCAGCCGCAGCTAGCTGGTTACTGTCTTACTATTAGCTGTGTGTGTCTTGTTCCTTCTAATTATTTGATATTAGGTTATTTCATAATATTCACGTTATATGCTTATGTACTCGATGTACACGGCAAACTGAATAAAAATATAGCTAGCCCCTTGCGACATATATATTGCTATATCTTCATCAATACTACTACACTATATATGTATTCTTATTCGAAAAAAAATACTACTGTGTATTAATTAATGCAAACATGATTCCGTGTTATAGTCGTACTAACCAGCTAGCTGATCAATCAATGGCAAAATTTGTTACCGATCACTCAACGTTCATGGTACTACGAGACATCCAAAGAACACTTATTATTTGCTAAATAACACTAGGAAAACTGCTGGATACCAAACACATTATTTTATTATATCTGATATATAGGGAGAGAAATAGCGTGGAAAGTATCAAATTTCATCTGTGCCCATCGGCTTGTAAGGCGACTAGTAGGTGTGTTTAACCAGACCCAGATCATTCTTACTCTCCCTATCTAGTCCATTCTCACCCCTTTGGTCTGTATCCCATTTGAATTAGATCCGATCGGGTTAAAGAAACATGACTCGTGAGCAAACATGTCTTTTCTTAAAGTTTCTCTCTTCATTTGTATCAGATATATTAAATATGTACATCAATTAATTATCATATTTTTACGGTGTCAGTAATAAATTTACATTCTTTGTGTGTCCTCCTGCAGCAAGATCGTGACCTATGAGTGTTATATATGTAGCAATTCTTAACATGAATGTATATTGCACTTACTTGGGCTGGACATACAGTCAGGCGGAAAGGCCACGTACATGCCCAACTGATACTCCCTCTGTCCTCTAATATAAGGGATTTTGATATTTTGCTTGTATTGTTTGACCACTCGTTTTATTTAAAAAAATTATGCAAATATAAAAAATAAAAATTTATGCTTAAATTACTTTGGATAATAAGGTAAGTCACAAATAAAATAAATAATAATATTCTAATTTTTTTAATAAAACGAATA